AGGTTCCTAGCTAGGACCTTTTTGGGGGCTTTGGCTCCCTCAGAAGCCAGTTTAAGCAAAAAGGGCACGCTTTTGTCAACCCTTCTGTCAATCCTAGCTTACTGGACAACCTGGCTAAACCCCAAATTCCTTAAACTCTAAAGCCCCCTGACCCCCTCAAATTTTAAGCCCCTAACCCCTAAACCGCTTAACCTCTTAAACCCGCCCTAACCACCCAAAATTTTAAGCCCCTGAACTTCGTAAACCCTTGAACTCCCCAAAAGTTTTCTGCCCCTACATCCCCTAAACTCTTAAACCCCCTAACCCCCCAAACTTTTAGGCGCCTAAACCACTAAAAAGACCCCAAACTCTCCCAAGCTCTCCCGAACCAACCCTAAACCCTAAACCCTAAACCCTAAACCCTAAACCCTAAACCCTAAACCCTAAACCCTAAACCCTAAACCCTAAACCCCAAACCCTAAACCCTAAACCCTAAACCCTAGAAAGAAAGAACACCCAAAGTCTCCCAAACCCAAAGCTCCTGGGGTGAAGGCGGTTGATGCAGCTTCTCGAAGCCCGACTGCGGGGCGCACCTTGGCCTAGAGCCTTAGGGGGTTTAGGGTTTAGGGCTAGGGTTTAGGGTTTTGGGGCTAGGGTTTAGGGTTTAGGGCTAGGGTTTAGGGTTTCAGGTGAGGGGTTGCGGGGTTTCTCGGGTTTTGGGGCTTAGGGTGTTGGGGTGCTGCGTGCAGTGCAGGGCGATAGTACGTACGGTTCCCAGGCTTCTTTACAGGGCTTGGATGCGAGTTTTAGGGTTTAGGGTTTAGGGTTTAGGGTTTAGGGTTTAGGACTGAGGGCGTTTCGGGCTGTCAGAGCTTCATGCGCGCCAAAACCTAAACCCGGAACAACCCTGAACCCCGAACCCCGCACCCCTAAACCCTAAACCCAAAACCCTAAACCCTAAACCCTAAACCCTAAACCCCAAAACCTAAACACCGGAAGGCTTGAACCTTTTCAGCCCCTGGGGCTCTGTTTAGGTCCCCAACCATTTGGGCCGCAGGCTCATCCAGCCTCTGGGGCCCTCCTCCACGTCCTAGTTCGGGTTTAGGGTTTAGGGTTTAGGGTTTAGGGTTTAGGGTTTAGGGTTTAGGGTTTAGGGTTTAGGGTTTTAGGGTTTAGGGCTTATAGCTTGAAACTATTCAAAAGTCAACAAGGAAGCTCCCCGAAGCTTATCGAAACTTCCCCGGACCTGAACCTTGAACAGGTTCACAAACCCTGGACCCAAAACCCCTGAACCTTACTTGGAGGTTCATGGGTACTTATAAGTAGGGTGAGTACTTTTATAACGTCATGGCCTTATTTAGCGTCCTTACAACCCTAATGATAAGTACCCATGAACCTAAACCCTAAACCCGACCCCCCTAAACCCCAAACACTAAACCCTAAACCCTAAACCCTAAGCCCTAAGCCCTAAACCGTATCCTTGGGCTCGGAGGACTGCACGCCGAACGAGATTCAGGTGGCCGCGGCACCTTGCTGAGCTTGGCGGGCTACTGTTTGCTTAAGAGCCCCCCGAAAAATGAAGACTAATAATCCCTATCTTACCCTTAGAAGGAATAATATTTTGATTTTTGGAGGTTTTTAAGCAAGAAGTAGCGGAGTGTTGGTTTTGGGGGGTTGTGGGCTTCTTCGGCTTACGGGGTTCAGAGTTTAGGGTTTTGGGGTTTAGGGTTTAGGGTGTAAAATGTTTGTTATTTTCTGGGATTTCGAGTTAAGGGTTTGGGGGTGTAGGGGTCTAGGTTCAGGATTTGGGGGGGGGGGGGGTCTTTTCCAGTGGGGTTGAGCGTTTGGGGTTCCTCCGAGGTATACATTTTGCTTATCCCCTTTCTGTCTTTCACCTTCCTTTTCACCCTAAACCCTAAACCCTAACCCCAAACCCTAAACCCTAAACCCTAAACCCCAAACCCTAAACCCTAAACCCCAAACCCTAAACCCTAAACCCTAAACCCTAAACCCTAAACCCTAAACCCTAAACCCTAATCAGCTGCGAGGCGCTTGCTGTCGAGAGGACATGCAGTTCATGCCCTCACCTGCCGCCCGAAAAGGGGTGGTTTAGGGTTTAGGGTTTAGGGTTTAGGGTTTAGGGTTTAGGGCCTGAAGCTTGAGCCCTGAAACTCCTGAAACCATGGAGGCAACGCGTGGACGTGGAATGCATGCAGGGTAGCACCGGCAAGAAGAGGAGATGTGGGTGGGGTTTTGAGGGTGGCCGCAATGGTCAGGCCCAAGTGCCCTCTAGGGGCGGGTACCCATTCCAGACAAAAAAGTCCTGGGGGTGTTGCCTGCTTTGTGCTGCCCATACACCTACGGCCCGAGGCCTCGGCGGATCACCTCGAAACCCCTAAACCCCGAAACCGCATCCGGTGCGTGGCGCTCTGGTTCAGAGAATTCTGAACCTGAACGGTTGCAAGGTAAGACCGGAGCCCAAGATATCTAGCAACATGATCCCCTGAAAACCTCTATGACTCTATGTAGTAGCTACAGTAGGAAACTATCCCAAAAGACTCGTTCTGAACTACGTAGGCCCTTGTAGCCGCTGTGAGGATGGACATCAGAACCTCTCAGCACTCATGTTTCCAGCCCCCGCAAGGACTGAAACCCTTAGATCTGATAGCCAGAAGTTCAACCCCCAAACCCTAGCTTTTTGAACCCTAAGCCCTAAGTCCTCAACTCCAAACCCCAAACCCTAAACACAGAACCTCTTAATCCGGGGTACGGAGCCGTGAGACATGAGGTGCACCGCTCGATGCAGTACTTGTCCATGTACTCCCGGCTCATGAACGTCGCCTTTCCCGGAGTGTTGCTGCTGGTGCCCCAGGGAGCTGAGGGGCATTCGAGGAGTTTAGGTTTCAGGCTTCTGGTCCTTTGGCCATGCGGACCAGCAGGGCCAACCAAGGTGAAAAACCCATCACTCCTACATCCTTCTTGCAACTCCTCCCCCCAACAGCCTAAACCCCAAACCCTAAACCCTAGACCCTAAACCCTAAACCCTAAACCCTAAACCCTAAACCCTAAATCTTAAGCCTTGAGTGCCGGCCAGGTGCCCTTCAACCTCGAACGAGCCTTGGCAAGATCTTGGCCATGGGGCCCTCGATGCCTGTAGCATGTCCCAAACCACCACCCCCCCCCCCCCCCATGTCTGAAGGGGTTTAGGGTTTAGGGTTTAGGGTTTAGGGTTTAGAGTCGTGCGAGCTCGTTGCAGAGTTCACGGCAGGGGAAGTCTGAGCTCGTTGGCTTGACGAAGAGGAGAGTTGCAGGAACCATGCATCCTGTTCGGACGTGCTTGAGGCTCCAATCTTCGGGGCTACGGTGTTAGTGTTCCAATCTTAGCAGGATTCTGCCGAAGGCAGTCCTGTCGCTCGGTGTGCAGCAAGAAGTCAATGTGCTATAATAGCCACTATGTCAAGCCCATGGGTGGTTTGGTGCTTCGAGCACTGCCTCAAGCCGCAGCATGATCGCTTACGTGAGGAGCTGAAGGAAGCTGCCACGGCGTTGGGATGCAGATTCCTCTGTCTCAAGAAGTCGATGAGCTTTATGAGCTGGCTGGAGGACAGTGAAGAGCGGGTTCTCTTACTCGCGGATTGGCGAGAAGCTAAGCCCGTCATGGAAGAGCTCGGCAAAAGGGAGGGAGGTCACGACGTTCTCATGTGTGTGGCTGCGCAGTCAGACAAGATGTTTCGCCGCGCAGTGGACTGGGCAACCAAGCAAAGGCCAGACACTGACATCATGGTCTCCTCGAGCTTCTCGCGCCAGAATCTGCTGGACCTGTTCGAACGCCACCTGGAAACTTCAGCTCAGCTGCCACCACCAGAGGTGCCAGTAACATCCTTGGCTGTCAGTGGAGCTGAGCATCCTTTGTGCGAACCAGGGAAGCTTCTGCCCTTTGCTGACAGTGGAGGTGTGCACTCTCGCTTTGAGCCCGGCTTGCAACAGCTATGATTTTTGGCGCCCTGCAAATGCATGTTACGAAGCCCAATGCCCCAATGCCCCCAAAGAGCCCAATTTTCACGGACGCGGTTTGCGCGTCCGGGTTTTCGGACCGCCATGGTCTGTCCCTGCGGGCACGTCTCTAATGCATGTGGTCCCTGTTGAAGAGGAGCCACAGTTAGAGAAGCGCCCAGTAGCTCGCTGCTGTAATAATTTGTGATTTTCCGGTTGGTGACGGAGAAGCGTTTGTACTTGCACAGCCAGACGGCGTGCCAAACCGCCTCAACAGCCAGCACTGCAACATCAAGCGTTGACGTGTGCAGAACTCTTAGATGGCCGCCTGCGACTGAAAACAAAGAGCCGCCCGGCAGGCTGATGGACCAGGAGGCCATAGGCTGCCCAGGTCTCCAGGGTTTAGGAGTTTAGGGTTTAGGAGCTTCGGGTTTAGGAGCTTGGGGTTTAGGCAGGGTCTAGGAGTTTAGGAGTCTAGGAGTTTAGGAGTTTATGAGTTTGGGAGTTTGGGAATTTGGGAGTTGAGGGGTTTAAGCCGGGAAGGCCAGCCTGGTTCCCTTCAAACCGATTTGCGACCTCAAGCTGTGCCTCCGACTAGTGGGGTTTTTTCCCGGAGCCTGGGTCCCTATTTGGTTACAATTCTACATATGTGTTGTCATGTTAAGTTCCCAAAATAAGGGAAAGAATGAACACGTGTGATATAGAGCCCCAACGAGGAAGTAGGAGGCTCGGCCCCAAGACCACGCGCCTGAAGTCTGAAGTCCTCGGCCCCAAGACCACGCGCCTGAAGTCTGAAGTCCTCGCGCGCGAAGTCTGCACAGTCCCTGCAGGGCCTCGACATTTTGGGAGAGTGGTTTGTGGCCACCGGGGGTTTCAGATGGGTTCAGGGAAGGCGCCAAGAGCTTCCTGATGCTCTCCTGTCCAGGACTCTTCTTGCTCCAGTTGGAGGGGGGCATGTAGAATGCCAAGCCTTGCGCAGATGCTGCTGAAGGCGGCTCTGTAGGGTTCCATGGCCTGGCAAGAAGCCAATGTCTTATGAGTCAAGCCCATGGGTGGTCTGGTGCTTCGAGCACTGCCTCAAGCCGCAGCATGATCGCTTGCGTGAGGAGCTGAAGGAAGCTGCCACGGCGTTGGGATGCAGATTCCTCTGTCTCAAGAAGTCGATGAGCTTTATGAGCTGGCTGGAGGACAGTGAAGATCGGGTTCTCTTACTCGCGGATTGGCGAGAAGCTAAGCCTGTCATGGAAGAGCTCGGCAAAAGGGAGGGAGGTCACGACGTTCTCATGTGTGTGGCTGCGCAGTCAGACAAGATGTTTCGCCGCGCAGTTGACTGGGCAACCAAGCAAAGGCCAGACACTGACATCATGGTCTCCTCCAGCTTCTCGCGCCAGAATCTGCTGGACCTGTTCGAGCGCCACTTGGAAACTTCAGCTCAGCCGCCACCACCAGCAGTGCCAGCACCGTCCTTCTCGCGAAGAGTTGGTGTTTCACAGCTTGCCCAGGATATCCCGGAAGGAGTGAGCTCGGCCAGTCTTGAGTAGAGTGGTGAGTGGGCCGGATGCCTTTCTTGACGGTGCTAAAGACTTAATACACTTAATACCCTAAAGCCTAAACCGGCGGAAGGCCCACGTTTCCAAACAAAAAAAAGAGAAACCGAATGCCCTACCTGAGTTTCCACCTTTCCTACGTGGCTGGCGCCTCTGGGCCCTGGACCCGAAGCCTTTGCGTGTTGCAATGTCCATTTCAGCCAGACGGCGGCATTGTGATGCTTTGAAAGGCTTCAAAACTGTTTGAAATAACGGATACCCCTTGGTGGCAGAGTAGCAGCCGGTGGCGGCCGGTAGCAGCTGCGCCCTGAAAACAAAAAGAGAGCGGAGCACGTAAGCGCAGCCGGGCCACGGCGAGGCCCGAAATCTCGCAGGCCAACACCCAACCCCCCCCCCCCCCCACCCCAAAAAAAAAATGAAGCTAAACCGCGCCCCGGGAATCTCTAAACCCTAAACCCTGAACCCTGAACCTTGAACCCTGAACCCTGAACCCTGAACCCTAAACCCTAAACCCTAAACCCTACACCCTAAACCCCAATCCACAGGACCTGTGATGCACTACGGCTGCACGGCTCTCACGGTGGCCTCCATGGTCTTCGGGGTGCTCGCCTACGTGCCCGGCCCGGTTTAGGGTTTAGGGTTTAGGGTTTAGGGTTTAGGGTTTAGGGTTTAGGGTTTAGGGTTTAGGGTTTAGGGCTTAGGGTGTAGGGCTTAGGGGGTTAGGGGTTAGGGTTTAGGGTTAGGGCTTAGGGCTTGGGGTTTCGGGTTTAGGGTTTAGGGTTTAGGGCCGGGCCTGCACGAAGGGTGTACCAGCCTAGGGATGGTTCAAGGGGGATTGTCGGGGTCTTTCGGGATATATAAGTTTCAGGGGTTTAGGGTTTAGGAGTTTAGGGTTCAGGGTTTAGGGTTTAGGGTTTCGGGTTTTGGGCTGGAGTTGAGTTTGGGGATGTTGAGGGTTTAGGGCCTGCAGGTGTTTGCCAGGAGCCTCCACAAACATTCTCCCCCCCTTCTCCATGTGTTGAGAACATAAGCCCATAGCCCTAAGCTACCCAAACCCCCGCCCCTCTTTGTTGGTTTTTCTATATGGGACGGAACTGGAGACTCGGATTCTGAGGCGGGGCTGAAACCCTAAACCCTAAACCCTAAACCCAAAACCCTAAACCCTAAACCCTAAACCCTAATCAGAAAGCCACAGGCATGTAGACGGGTTTCGATGGGATTTCTTTTAAAGGGGTTTGAAGGGTCCGAGTTTCAGCCAGGCCTGCGTCTGGCACTGCGGTCTGGGGTTTAGGGTTTGGGGTTTAGGGGTTTAGGGGTCTAGGGGCTTAGGGGTTTAGGGTCTAGAAGTTTAGGGTTTTGGTTTTAGGGGTTTAGGGTGTAGAGTTTAGGATCCACCTTATCCCAGGCGAATATGCCCCTCACGGCCGCCGCGGGACAAGAGGTGGCTCGGGAACCTGTGCGCGAGTTGTCAGAGTTTCGGGGAGTAGGGCCCCCAGGCTTTAGAGTTTCGGGTTGAGGAACCCCAAACCCGAAACCCTAAAGAGCCTTTCGAGTTCAGGTCTTGGGAATGAGGGTTGCTCCTCATCACCCCGAACCCTAAACCCTAAACCCTAAACCCTAAACCCTAAACCCTAAACCCTAAACCCTAAACCCTAAACCCTAAACCCTAAACCCGAGGACGATGAGCTCGGGCAGTGGTCTACGCGGTGCCTCCGAGCAGACATGGGAGTGGTCGAAGTGATCGGCTCGGGGGTGCTTTGAGGTTTAGGGTTCAGGGTCCAGGGTTTAGGGTTTAGGGCTTAGGGTTTAGGGTTTAGGGTTTAGGGCTTAGGGTTTAGGGTTTAGGGTAACCCATCGTGAGGGCACAGTCCCCCTGCATGAGGAGTTTCGGGATGGCTCAAAGACCCTTGCGGCCGCAGGGATGAAGGGTTTATGGGTTTTAGGGGTTTAGGGGTTTAGGTTTAGGGTTTAGGGTTGAGGGTTTAGGGTTTAGGGTTTAGGGATTTAGCGTTTAAGGGTTGTAGTCCCGACATAAAGAAGGCCCTTTAGCCCCCAAAGTTCGGGTCCAAGAAGGGGGCCAGGGACCTTTCAGGCCAACCGAACCTATGACATGACCTGATCTTAGGGGGGTTCATGGGAGGTTCGTAACGCCCTAGCCGCCCCATGAACCGTAGGGTTTAGGATTTAGGGTTGAGGATTTAGGGTTGAGGGTCACTTAAGAACTCTATAGCAAGACTTGCCCCCTTGAGAGTGTTGGCGGCGAGGCACGCGCGGCTCCGATACAAGGCGCCCAGGTTCAGGGGTTACGGCTTAGGGTTGGGAAGTCCTTGTATTTCCCTGATTGGGTTCAAGAGGATCACGCGCAGAAACATTCCTCAGAGGGTTTTGAGGTCCTCGTACATTGTGGTCGCGAGTGTAGACATTGCGGGCTTTCGGATGGCTTAAGGGGCAGTAAGCCCCCAAAAACCCGAACCCTGAACCATCTTCGGGTTGTAAGGTCACGAAGCCTCGAAAAGCACATCTTTGCTTCGCATCATGCGTCAAGCTTTGCGTAGGTAAGGGCCAGCACAAAGGCGGGGAAATTCGACGACCAGAGAGAAGCGCCATGCAAGCCCGGGCGTAAAAATGCTCTTGAGCCTTTGTGGAAATCTGCAATCCTAAGCCCTCAACCCTAAACCCCAAGCCCTAAACCCTAAACCCTGAACCCTAAACCCTAAACCCTAAACCCTGATAGCCGTAAACCCTAAACCCTAAACCCTAAACCCTGAACAAGCCAAGATAGTAAGTCCAAAAACCGAGGCCAGAAAGCCACAACAGCACCACCAACAAACACCCACAGACCCAAGATAACAAAAACACCCAATGTACAATTTCTCGGGACAGTCCCACAATTCTTGGACCAGTTAGAAACGACGTGCCGAATTTGTTTTTGTCGTTTGGGTTTTAAGGGGGGTGGGGGTTTTTGGCTCTGCTTTTGTGCCTTCTGGCGTTGATTGTTGATTCTTCTCTGTGGTACAAAGAAAGATAACGATCAAGCCTCACACTGCTCGTACGCAGCTAGGTGACCTGAGACAAGGTCAGAAAAGGGTAGGTCGCTCGAGGTGGGGTGGGGCTACATATGTATATATATATATATATGTATATGTATATATATATATATGAGAATATATAATATGTGTGTATATATATATATATATATGATCCATGGGTGTAGGGTTGTCCTGCAATGTCCCTTCACAAAGGCATGGTGTATCATCGCCTTGCATTTCGTGCTGCCCACCGCGGCCGCAGACCCGGTCGAGGGTTCGGGGTTTATGGTTGGGATGTTCCCCCTTATACTAACAGTCCTTCATAGGGATTACAACTAGGGGGTACTATAATCCCTATTAAGGGCTGTTAGTAGAAGCGGGAACATCCCAAATTTAGGGCGTAAATATTCTGGACCTTGAAGAATCAGGTCTGGACTGCTTGGCGCCAGGAGTAACCCCAGAAGGGTCTTTTTGGGGAAACTTCGGAGCAGGGGCCTAACTCCCTAACACAGGGGCCTTAATAATTCGAACAGTTTTTTTTTTTTTTTTTGGGGGGGGGGGGGGTGTCACTAGAGTAGATTTACAAAGGGGCCATAAGGGAATATGATTAGTAATCGTTCCGACCCCTATATGGGTGGTTTGTCAAAATTATGGTCCCTTTTTGGATCCCTAGTATACTACGGCACCTACTATTTAGGGCACGCCCAAAGGGGATCAGAAATTTGACAACCACCCCTTTGAAGCCCCAAAACCCTTTAAAAAACCGGGTTCATGTCCACACTCCAATGATGAAACCCTGAAAGCCCTGAGCCTTAAGCCCGAAACCCTAAACCCCAAACACTAAGCCCTGCACCCCAAAAACAGCCCTGGCAGCCAGAGGAGTCCCCCTACCCCCCCACCCCCCCCGAAACGAAAGCCTCAATCCAAAACCCTCAGTTTCGAGCATGCCCTGCAGGTGCGTCTGTTCCCGCTTTTTGTGGGGGCTAGACTCCTTTAAGCCCCAGGAAGCCCCTCCAAAAGGGCCCCTGAAAGAATGTCCACTCCAGGCCGCGGTCCACCACTTTGCCTGGCTGGATGCTGCTTGGATCTTCTTGCTAGGGTCTAGGGCTTCAGGGGCTCTAGGGGTTTAGGGCTTCAGGGGCTCTCGGGGTTTAGGGGTCTAGGTTCCGTGGCTCAGGGTTTAGGGATGTAGATGGTGCAGGGGTTTCGGGTGTTAGGGCTTTGGGGTCCTGACCCTGAAAACCTGTGTGTCATCTCGGGGAGATTTGAGGGTTTAGGGGTTTCGGGGCCCAAAGCCTCAACCCCACTAAGGCGAGGGATCGGACCTGGGCCTTTTTGTGGGGCCTTTCGCGAAACTCTCAGCCCTAAGGCCCTTACGTCTCCTTGAGTGCTGAGCAGTGCAATGACCTATGTGTAAACCCTAAACCCTAAACCCTAAACCCTAAACCCTAAACCCTAAACCCTAAGCCCTAAACCCTAAACCCTAAGGTGAAGGGCTTGCAGCGGATGTTGCGCTCGTCTTGGTGCAAGCTTTCGGCTCACGGTTGAGGGTTTTGGGTCTTGAGGTGTGGCCGGGCCTCAGACATGTACGTCATACGCCTTAGCCCCCCTTGAAGCCGTCTGAGCCCCTGTGCTTGGAGGTTCATGGTACTTGGTAACCCAATGAATAACGAAGAATGTACTTCTAACCCAATTATACCTAAGGAGCTAAAAGGTGGGTGATAGCTACATAAACCCTAAACCCTAAACCCTAAACCCTAAACCCGAACCCCTAAACCCCTAAACCCCTAAACCCCTAAACCCCTAACCCCAAACCCCAAACCCTAAACCCTAAACCCTAAACCCTAAACCCTCTAATTGGGTTACGAAGCACCCTGGAGCTCCAAGTCTGAGCCCTGTCACCCTCATCGCGGCGCCCCAAAGGTGACAGGCCGCCTCTTCGGGCTCTGCGAAGTGCTCCTCGGC